CATTTCTAAAATATTAACAAATTTAAAAATAACAATGAAATAGTCATAGATAGAAAAATTCAATCTTATATTGAATTTGAAAACTTTGAAATGAAAACAATAATTTTTTAGATTCTCATTTTTTTTTTAAATATCATTAGTAATGAAAAGAATTAATCTCGACAAATATAAATTAATGCATATTTCATATTCAGCATTAAAAAATTAATTATTACATATAAAAGTGTATTGAACATTTTGAATATTGAAAATTAAAAAAATTCAAAATAATGTATTTAAAATATTGTTTACTTATTAATTAATAATGATATTTTATAATTGAAGACATTAATCGTCATATTGTAAAACAATGTTTATATTTGTTGATATATCTTTTAATTAATTATATTCAAAAATAAAAAGCAATTAGATAAGATTATATTCATCATTTAAATAATATTAAAAATTCCAAGACAATATTTGCTCTTGATTATAAAATTTTTTATCAAATTTTTTCAACTTGTTTTGCAGAAATCGGATAAAAATTTGTCGAAAAATTTCATCTTAACAATCTGCAACTTTTATTTATCCAAGAAACAAAGAATGTTTATTTTATTTATTCTTCTCTTTTTTTCTTCTGTCTTCTCTCTCAATTTTGTTTTTATTCCCATAAAAAGAAGCCTTAAGTATATTTATCGCGTTAACGAAAATCATCTCGAAAGAAATACAATATCTAAATACGACTAAAGTGTTTTTAACAAAAATTTCCATTTCAAGATAAGCGATTGTTGTTTTTTGACGCGATAGAGTTGAAATTCTTTGTCGCCAAATGATCGATTTAAATAATATTTCTCTTCGTTTATTTTTTGGTTTATTGTTGGCGATAAAAACAAAGCATATCGCATTGATATTATTTGTAATTAAATATCATATATAATTGTGAACAATATAGGTCAAACATGTAGAATTTGATATAGTATTATATAATTGTATGAAGCTTTATTGTAATCTTTAAATATTAATCTGAGATACATATTACGATAAATACGTTAATTTGCATGGTAAGAAAAAATGACCTTACTTGAGTTAAAACAGAAATGAAGTAATTTCTATTCAATCAGAGTTTGAGCTATTCACCAATGAATTAACGTGCGCGTATGCTGCTTAAAATAATTAGAGAGAATCATCCGCTCATGTGACTTCATCGCTCAATAAAGTGTCTGCCAATGTCACATCTTTAATGTGAAATAAATCAAGCGCATAATAAAAATTTTATTTTTTAACATTTTGTTTATTCTTAGATAAAGATCAAATCCTTCCAATTCTTTTATCGATTCAATGCATGTGAAATATTTTTTATATCATTATATGTAAAACTGTAGGAATTAAGAAAACGATTAAAAAAAAGCTATATAATAAAAAAGCTAGTACATGTTTTTTTCAATGAATTTCAATGATTAATGAAAAAACAAATACCAAGATAGATGAAGTGTCTTTAGCAAATATTATGTTTATCTCTTTCAATCTTAAATTGTTTATTTCTGTTTCTTTTTTCGCAATTTTTATCTCAAATATTTAAAAATTGTGCAAATAATAAATATTTTAGATATGAATATTTTTACTAATTAAAATATAATATATCAAAATCAATTATAAAATAATTCATATTATTTATTTCTATCATTTGTTTCCCTAGTATACAAAAATACAAAGGCATTGTCATCTTATAAAAGAAATTATTATCAGATATACTATAAAATTTCTTGTTAGTTAACATTCTAGATTTTAAGATATCAGATTCTAAATATATGTCACAACAGTATTTTAATACAAGTGCTACTATAGTATCATGATTTAAACAGTTAAGAGCGATACTTGTCGTGAATCTATCATTCATTTAATCCTCTTGTGATTTTCTCGTTTCTCGATCCTTGAAAAATGTCAATTGGCACGAAATCGAGACTCGAGAGACTGATTTCACGAGAGCCATGATCTTGACTATTGAGTTGGCGATAATTCTCGATATTAATGACGTAAGCTCATTGCTTATGATGCTTGCGAGTATAAATATTCTTTTTTCCTCTTTGCTTCTTTTCGTCACCAAGAGTAAGGTCAGTTCGTAGGGCGATGAATCTAATCGAATTTAACCATCGATCAATTTTTCCTCTTCGTGTTACGCGATTGTTGCATTACATATGTTAATACAAATTCATGAATGCAATTCGAAAAACAAAATTTTTTACTTTATGAATATTGTATAAATAATTAACATTAGAAATGATGACCTTTATCGGTTAATTTTCATTCAAAGCCTTTTTTCATTCAAAATTATTGTCATTTATTAAGAAATATTATTTCTTAAAAATAAAAAACATAATAAAAATATATTATCAATGATATTGCAAAAAAAAAAAAATTCGAAAAATTAACCATTATAATTTTCGATTAACTACGTTTTAAAAAATTGCAATGTTATTATTAAGTTATAATTTTGAGATATTTGTCGATAAACTTATCGAAATAATTATACTGTTTTAAAAGATTAAGAAAAAATGTAATCATGTTTATTAAAAACTTATATAAGACGACTATTGCTCATTATTTATTAGAAATTAAAAATAATATTGAAAATATTTTTTGAATTCTGTACATATTTTATATTTATATTTTCCATATTTATTGTATATTTATCTGTAATCATCCGTATATTATAATGATTATAAATTGTTATCGTGGAAAAATAGCATTGATGATAATTTGATTCTGAAATTCCACGCTTTTAATCCTATTCGCCAAATATTTTTATGTACTTTTTCAAGGTATTTCATACCTTCGAGCATATGCACTTATGAATCTTACAGCAAATATTGCGTGAGATTGTATTTGTTTTGCATTACGTGATGGAGATCAAAGTTCAAAGGATTTCTTGCATTTACTATCATTACATAGTGACAAGCATTGATAATTCAACGATCGAAAAAATGTTATTTGCACGATTATCTTTCAATAAGTTTTTTGTAATATCGTTGAGTAACAATTGCGATACAGTTTTTTTTTTTATATATACCGCGTCTGTTTCTTATAAATGAATCGATTCGTTGAAGGAAATATTTATGGTTGTTCGTAAATATTTAATCGCGATAAAACACGTGGAACATGGTTGTAATTGATAATCCGTGATTATTTGAATACGATGAATCGTAACGTTCGGAAGTTGTATCAATTTTATGAAACCGGTATCAATATTTAGAAGAGTGGCGTGACTTTATTCGAAATTGTGTTTTTGATGAAATTTAAACTGTTTTCAGAAATGATCTCATCGAGCATGAAGTTGCGCGAATTGTGTTAATTCCGAGAAAAAGTAGTTTTGTAATAAGACCAATCTGACATTTCACCGGCATAATCGCTAGTTTTATCAACTTTAAATTGCTTGCAATCAAGCAGTTTAAACGTGGAGTAAAAAAGCAATATTGATAATTATTGATTAGCATCACCATCAATCATTTATCAAATGACATATAATCGGTGATTATAATCGCAATCTATTATGAATTTTTAATTAAAATCGTAACAATGCTAATGAAAAATTGCGAATAATCATGTCAAATAATTGAAAAATCGAAGAAATAATGTGTTAAAATATTTATATATAATTTTTTATCCGCAAAAATGAAGAATTTTATTTTTTAAAAATGGATCCAAAAAATTACTATCGTCATTTACTTGAATTCTTGATAAAACAAAAAAACAATTTAAGTTTGTATCTATTGACGATATATATCGATAAAATGTAATAGAAATTTAATGTTAAGAAAAATACGGAAATTGCAACGAAAGCATTAATTTTCATATTTATACAATATAATCGATATATAATCGATAGCTATATCAATCGTTTCCACTCAAGAAAGATTTTTTCATTTTTTCTATAATAATTACATCAAATAATCAACATGAATCAAAAACATAAGAAATAAAAATAAATAATATAAATTATTTATATTCATTAATATAATATAGAAGATAAAATAGGGATATCAAGAATTAGAAATAATGTTTACAGCTACACATAAAGATTTCGTTTTTCAAAGATTGCGAATAAAATATGTTATAATAAAAAAATATCCTTGGCTGTTCATTATTATTATTGAATATGCAAAAAAAGACTATACATGTAAATAAACACTTAATTATTTATTTTGTAATTAATTCAAGAGAATAACTTCCTAATTAAATATTAAATATATGCTAATCTTCCGATCGTTTCAATCAGTATAAAACACAAATCAAACAAAATAAAAAGTAACTAAAAAATATTTCAAATTATACAATTTAACTCAAACGTTTAAATCTCGTTTGATCTATCTATACAAAAAAAAAAAAAAATCTGACAATCCACACATAAAATCCAAATATTTCTCAAGTTCACTCCACTTCGCTCAACATCAACAAGTATCAACAAATCGTTTGAAAAGGCTTATCCATTTTACCAACTAAACGGGCCATCAGTTCGCCGTGTATCTAAGCAAATTCGATCGTTTGCTTTTCTTTCGGAGCGAGCAGAGTGGCATAAAGTGTGAAATTGGGTTAAGGTTAATCCATGTAACCGGCCGATAACCATGTAACAGTTGCAAACGCCGTTGACGCAACGATCGACAGAAATCGTCGGTCGAAAACGGCAGGGAAACGTTACATGAATAATTTATGGCGGGGGATCGTGTGTATTAAATATAGAGGAGCGTTGAAACGTCACGCTCGCGCGAGCGGCGCACAACGCGCGATAACGCTTCGCTCGCGAAACGCGAGAAAGTGTGCACGCGGATCGATCTGCCTCGTCCGGGAAGTTTCGTGTTTCACGCGAGATACGAGATACGAAGAAGTGATAGAAAAATCCGATTTTTTCTCTCTCTCTCTCTCCTCATTTTCAAGAAACTTCGTGTTTTAATTCCAAAATTATTCCACTTGAAAAGACGCTTAATGACGTACCATGTTATTCGTGAATGACGAACGAGTGAAAATCATTTTCCTTGTTTTGGAGTGTAACGAGCAGGGTCACGTGTTCACGTCTGGTCGGCTTAATTCGCAATTTCTCCACTTAAAATCCCAGTGTTTCGCGGTGAGTCGTTTGCAGATGTCGAAGGAACGATGCGAAATATTTTTGTGTTATTATTGGCAAAAAGATATATGAACATTTTTTCTCTCTCTCTCTCTTATTTTTACGATTAACAATGTGTCTACGCGTGGTTGATTTAATTCGAAACCCCTCCACTTAAAACGATAATGCGAATGCCAAATGTATGTGGAGTGTTCCCGTTCCAGAAACAAAAATAAGATTGATGTTTATTTGTCGTGCGGAACGATCCAATAAACATCTTACGTTGATTCGATTAACTGTGCTTCCGGATATATCGGTTCTTGTTAATATGTTGAACGTCGCATGATTTAAAGAAGAATAAATTTACATATCGAAGACTTTAATGGGGATGTATATCGGGAATTGACGAGAAATGTTTCCCAATGTAATAGTACCAGGTATCCGATATTGTTAAAAAAATTAGCTTCGCAATAGCGCATTTAATTTATAGATGCATGAGGGAATTTTCTCGGCCAACGTGACCATTGCATGCGTCATTTAGAAATTGCAACTGTTGGGGGAATCTCGATTCCAATGTGTTTCACGACCATTATCGTCTCAAACGTTATGTAATTTATCTTGTCATATTTCGTTCTATTTAATCCTCGTGTCATTTCGCTTTATCGTTCGTGCGATGGAACAAAACTAGTAGTGATGATAAACTGTTGCATATTTCATATTGATGAAAATTTTGCATATCATGATCGACATGTGATCATATCGATCATGCACACATGGCGAATAGTTAAACCAAAGAAAGAAGAAAATTTCGATGTAAAGATAGATCCGCTGATCCGGCTCGTGAACTGTGCATTTCACTCATGTTTCTCAGGAATTACGTTAAGAATCACGTTTCGTGCGCGCACGTGTACTATTGCATGATATATTCCTGCTGGAATAATGAAAAACGCAAATTCTTTGATCTCTTTTGCGACGTTTGCGAATTTAACCTTTTTAAGATTTTTAAGATCACATTTAATCAACGATCGTTTTTTCAATTGATTCGTTATTATTTGAGAGAAAAAATTGTACAGATAAATTTATGCAATTTGTATATAATTGGATATATTTGCAATGTGCAATTTATTTTATATGTAAATTGGTTTGTGATTAATTATGTATGCGTATACGATTAATATTTTAAATATATTGTAATCGCACGGAAAAATTTTATGAAATTTATATAATATATTATGTATATATATATATTTATATTATATATTTTCTCTTGATACAGAATTTTATTCCGTGTTTTTAATAGATTTGAAATTTATCATTCATCAAGTATAAAACTTATCCTAACTTATGCTTATCCTAATAGTTATAGTACTGTTATAATTTCCACGTTCAAAATCACTCGTAAGTCTACTATATACCGCTGTCGTTATTATAAACGCACTTCATTCATTTCAATCTATCACGGCTGCTTATACATTGCGCAATTACTCAAGGTTTTATCTTGCATCGCTCCCAGCGCCGAGCCATTGTTGTGTTATCAACCGAATAGCTAGTAAAAATAGGGGATATTAATTTAATATTACACCGCAGTCTAATCAGTTCGTAATATCCTTATGATAATTTAATGACATTCTAAAATAACATTAGTATTATTGTCCATTATCTATTAAATATGTTTTCTACATTTGTACGTAGTAACACATACATTTTGCAACATTATAATTATTAGAATCGATCAAAATAAAATTGTGATCAAATAATAATTCAACAATTTATTAATTTTATTAATTCATTTGGCAGAATAAATTGTATTTATTTTCAAATAAATTGATTTATTATTTGTCATTTTTATTTCAAATCGTTATTCCTTCTTCATACATTCCTTTTGCTACTATGTAATATCCACATTTTATAATGTAAATTTATAATATCAAAATATTATAATATCGCAACAATTTTATGATGCTAGAATACCATAATATTTCAATTTTCACGATATTATATTATGATATTAATATTACATTTCGTTCATTATCATAGAGCTGTATTTTTGAATAAATCATTTCATACATCATATAATTTGAAGTTAAACGACAATTAAAAGTAATCAAAATTACAGATCTATGAAGAAGATATCATAATATCCGCGTTAGACGTATACATTAATTTAAATTATTTAGATTAATTCAGAACATTCGTTTTTGGACATTCTTAATAACATCATTCATCAGAAAAAAAAACTTGATTTTTAGTACGATGTCTGATGTAATCTTTTTCGTTGATTTAAGTTGATAAGAAATTTAATTTGATTTTACGCTTTCTTTCCTTTTTATTTCTTTCTTAAATAATAGTCGAATATTTCTTTATTTATTTATTCTAATGTCTTGCCAATAAGATACGATAAATTATTCATAAGATCTTTATAATCGACCATTTTTGCGACAGTTTTTGTAAAAACCATAATTGTAAACTTGTCGAGATATATTAATAGAGATACATTGCATGTTGATTGCAATTGAACAGTTATTTAAACGGTTATTAAGTCCTTATTAAATCTGTGGAGAATATAAAGAATCGTTGTGGCATTAATAATTTTTGTTTTTCTCGAATAATTTATTCATTGAATTAATTAATCTTCGATTACGACACTTAGAGATACAATTAAAGCGAAACCCAGTAAGAAAGAGGATTGGTTTTTAAAAGCAAAGATCTTATACATGTTTGTCAAATATATCCACGCCCATCGATAATTCTTCTTACGTAATTAGATTGCACAGTTAAGTTTATGTTTTATCTTTTTCCTATAAAAAAAAAAATATTGCTGATGTATAAACTAAATATTTTCTTTCTCATTCAAAAAATTACTGAGTTTGCAGTGCGGCGAAAATAACGGCTCAGTCGTTCTATGCGCAGGAAGAATTGGAGATAAAACCGTGACAGAAGACATGTCTGACTGGCACAGTCCGATTTTACTGTTGGGAAAATTCACACGTTCAACTCACGGTATCACGGATGCCCATTGTTTTTTTCTTTTTTTTCTCTCTTTAAAACGATGTATGCAATTCTAGATAAAGATAAAGATTTTATTTAGAAAAAAACCTGTTTCGCATTTAGAGATATAAAAATAACAAAATAAGACTTATAAAAAATTGTTTTCTTATTCAAAGATACAAAAACGATTGTAAACGAAACTTGCAATATTTTTTCTTAAAAGATGTAATAATTAGTATATAATCAACATTAGTATATAATCAATTATCGATATCCAAGAAAATTACAAGCAGACAATATATAAATTATAATACATGATTATGTTGAACGATATCGTAGTATCGATTAAAATCGATTAAAATCAAGAGGTATTTCTTAACGGTTAATAAGAAGGGGAATTTTTTTCCTTATTTTTTTTTTTCGTTTTTTTTTTCTATTAATTCAAGATCTTTATCTTTATTTTTTCAACCTTCATCGTAAAACATGTGTCAGATTTTCATAATTATGTACGTCATAATGTTGCACATAACGATATAGATATGATGTTATTTTTATCTGTTTATTTGTGTATAGTCAAATTATAACTAAAATTATTTATTCGAACCATTCTTAAATTAGTAATAATAAATTTAAACGATACGGAATATTTATCTTTCTAAATAATTTTGAAAAATTGCTTCCACATCTTTAATACAAGCGTGATAAAAATCTTTCATATTTTCGGAAACAGAATTTCTTATAATCATTTATTTTCTTCCTCTTCGTGTGATAAGGAAAGAAAGCCTCGTGCATCTGAACTTCTATTAATAAACTATAACGCTATAATTTAAATAGGACAAATATGTACAAAATTCCGTTCATAATTACTATTCATTCTGTTGCAACATAATATTCATATCTCGTCATATGATCTAATTTTTTATTCGTCTTTCACATGTATGTCGGTCAAAAATCGATTTTACTTATTCATCACGTCATCGTCTCAGTTCAATCACGTGCAAATCAACGAAAAAATCACGCGATAATATTATGAACGAAGGAAAGGAACGATCTGATTAATCATTTCGCGTGTATTAAGGCAAACTTATTTATGACAACTGGGCGATAAGTTACAAAAATATCATCCCTTATCTTTATGATTTCTGCCCCGTTATCAGATATAAAGACGTAACTCTGTATGCCGCAGATAGATATAGTTTTTAGTCGTACGGGAAGTGTGACATACGACAAAGTACGATTTACACGAGTGTACGAGTGCCATATTAGGATATGGACGAGCTCAATGGTAAATCCATCTGAATGAATTTCGAATCGTCTAAATAATATTTCACCCGTGAATAACATTTGATTATTTCGCGATTCAAGAAGAGTGTTTTTTTTTTATATATATACGATACGTACAAATATATTGCAATATCAATTATTGGTTATCAACGGTCACGATGACGTGTGTCCAATTTTGACACGATTGCAATCGTGACGAATGCGTTTAAATTATTTTTAATTGTTTCGAGAAAGTATACTATCCAAGTTTGAAAGTAAATTCTTTTCGTTTCACTTGTTCGACCGTGTATCACGCTTTTATTTGCAGCCATTCATCTTTCTTAAATTGCACGCTCGAAATACTCTCTTTTTCCTAATTTTATAATTCACTTGTTTGAATGAAACACGAATATTTTATATGCAATTTAGAGAATGCTTTTGCATACTTTCTTATATTTAGTTTAAATCGTTAAAATCTCAATCTCGATTTTCAATCAAATTGTAAAAATAATGTATTCTATGTTTCGAATACTCGAGTGATTATACAATTTAAATAACATTTCGAAATTAATTAAATTTCATCACTTTCATCAGTAAAGAATAATATTAAATATTTTTATATATATTCTATATATATATTCTACACTCTCTTATATAACTTATAATTTCATCCTTCCTTGAGATGAGCTTTATCAATTTAATATAATTCCTAAATAATAATTTATCTCGTTCTAATCCCATTATCCGTAATTTTCACAAGAATTTTTTCCTTAAATTCACGGGATATCGTTATACCCATTTGACGACTTCTTGTAGTATGGAAATGTCATAAATAAATTATTTTTATTCCGATTACGCGAAATTTTCGCATTTCGTGCGAAAGAATAAAATATCGGCACCTCGATAGAGGACATTGTTCGCGATAGCGAAATGCCACGTTAATATTTGATCGGTTTTTATTTCTAAAATAGCATATGGCGGTACAAAGTAGTGACAGATATCGATCGTTGCGATTGCCGATGTCGAGATGGCCTACCTTCGCGTTATGTTCATTCTCTCGTTCACCCCTACTTTTCCTCTCTCTCTCTCTCTCTCTCTCTC